TCTTAAAACCATCACAGTGGGGGCTAAGATTTCAACAAATGAATTAGGGGGGATAAAACATCCAATCTGTGGTAGCCTCTTCATGCAAGTTGCTTCTAAAAAACAATATGCAGCCCCACAAAAATGAAGCTAAAACCTGAACCCCTATGGAAACAAATCCAGGGAGGCAAACGTGTGACAAGTGAGCACAGAAGCCTCATCAGAGCCTCAATTCCCTGGGGCCTTTTTTTTTTTTCTTTTTAGAGATTTATTTATTTATGCATACAGAACTGGGATACAGATCAGAGGTTCATGGGCAGTGAGAGGATTCACCAGAGACAGAGTGGGGAGCAGAACAGGCCGAATGACAAAGCACACTGCTGAGGGGAGCAGCGGGCAGGTCAGGAGAGGTCTGCCGCGCCATGTGGGTCACCTCCAGGGCTGGGGATCGAACTCATGCAGAAGTGGCTTTAGCTTCCTAGTGCTGTGCTCTAGCCTGCTGTGCCACCAGGGAGGGCCCTGGGACCTTTTTTAATTTTTTTTAAGTAAGCTTTTTATTTTGGAAAATATTCAGACTTACATATTGTCTGTCACAAAACAATGATCTCATTACTCTTCAACTGTAATTTCCTACAAAATTATGGTCCATTTGTTGAAGAGATCAATGTTATCATTTTTCTATGAACTACATAGCACTTGACTTGGCTTTCACCAATTTTGCCACTAATGCTCTAATCTTAAATATGTGTTTAGAGCAAGGAGCCAACAGACCAGACGAGAGGTGTGGAATCCAGTAGAATACACATGGATCAGTATAACTCTGGATTTTATTTCCTCGGCTTGTGTCCTCCACCTCACAAATGCTGATTAGACATAGGTCCAGTTTACCTTTCTCAGCTCTTCTCTGACAGTCACTGGTCAGTTAGGAAAGTGACACCCCTAACTTAGTTATGACTCCAGCTGACTCTCCTGTTTAAAGTCCTTTTGAGTGGTTCAGGTCTAAAATCATTTCAAAATCCATGCCTGGCTCACATGGCTGGCAGGCAGACAGCCTTTCTTCAGAGTCCGAGCAGTGCACGCTGCAGCTGAGAGGGCCACTCTCCAGCAACAGCCATTTTCCCTCACTCCTGCCTGGGCATTCCACTTCTTAGGCTTCCCTGACTGAGCAGTAGTTATGCGCGTCTTAGCAGAAAAATCTGAATGAAAGTACATGCCACTTCTAGAGCTGGCCCCGACCATCTGCCAAGCAGTTCTCCAAGCTCTGCTCAACTTCTAAAACGACAATGCCCAAAACAACTTCGGAAGCCACGTTAACACTGGCATCAGGCGGTCCCAAAATGACTCCTCAGAGCAGCTTCCCCCTCTCAGCTTCCCACCTGCAACCCCTCTGGGCACTGCATGTGTGAGGAGAAAGAAAAAAACTTGGAATGTGCTGAGCCAGTCCATCTGGAGGGTGTTGTAGTTTAGCACACCCTAACGTACGCAGGTTCTGTATGTCAAGTCCATTAACGCAAGACCTTGATTCTGGATGTTTGTTCAAGCCCATGGGGGCACAGAACCACAATGCTTAGGACACACCACCACATTCAGCTGTGCTGGACCCTTTTTTTTTCGCTTTGCCACTTGTCCATTCCCCATTCCAGGCCCATTCTGTTCCCTTCCATTTACCCTACTGCAGTGAGTTAAGGGGCATAACCTCCCCAAAATGTAATGGTACTTTGTGTTTAATTTACTCAGTTGCTTTCTGCTGTCAATTTCACGTTCCTGTTTTTCTGCACCTAGAGTCTATTATGTTCCAACTGCTTGCACCTGACTGCTTTGTATGATATTCCCTCAGTCATATCTACCACATTTTACTTATCAATTCCCTTAGGAACAGACACCTAAGTTGCTTTAAGTTTCTTCAACCCAAACTATACCTAGGTAAACATCCTTGTACATAACTTCATGTGGATTTGTGCAAGTTTCTCTTTAGTTCACAGTCAGCAGTGGAACTGTTTTGATGCAGTATATGTACACAATGAGTTAGTTATGTATTGCTGTGTAAGAAATTACTTAAACCCAGTGGACTGTGGTACAGGATTATTAGGGCTCTGGTGATCGGCATGGTGAAAACATACAATCGTGGAGGTATGAAACCTATACCCCTAAAACATAAACAGTGCTGTAAATCAAAATAACTTCATCAAATACAGTTTTTTAAAAATAATGCTCACATAATGATAAGAAATTTTGCAAATCAGGTATCTGATAAAAAGAACTCTAGATAAGAATGTATGTGTGAGTGTGTGTGTGTATTTAATAACCCAATTAAAAATGGGCAAAAAGGGCCTCCTTGGTGGCACAAGGGATTAAGTCTCAGCACTATGAAGCTGTCTGCAGCCACTGCAGCATGAGTTCCATCCCCAGGCCAGTGAATAGACTCACATGGTGCAGCAGGCCTCTCCTGTCTCTCCTGCTGCTCAACCAAGCAGTGTATTTCAGTCAGTGTACCTGTTCTGCTCCCCACACCGTCTCTGGTAAATCCTCTTACCACTCCCCTCCCCACACCCAGTTCTTCGATGCATAAATAAATCATTTTTTTAAATGGGCGAAGAATTTGAACAAATATTTCTCCAAAGAAGATATATAAAGATGTTGAACAACATGAGGCATTAAAGAAATGCATCAAAACCACTTTAAGGTACCATTTTATACTTACTAGGATGGCTAGAATCAAGAAAACAGATAATAACAAGTGTTAGCAAGAATACTGAGAAAAATTGGGAATTTCATGCATTGCTTTGGAAGGAAGTTCAGTAATTCCTCAAAAGTTAAACATGGAGTGACTGCAGGACCAACAATTTTACCCCATGGAAAATAAAAACATACCCATACAACAACTTGTATGTAAATGTTACAGCAAAAGTGGGAACTCAAATGCCCATCTACTAATGCATGAATAAATAAAAATAAAAATGTGGTAAATCTACATAAGGAATGAAGGGGATGAAGTAGTGATTCATACTACAAGAATGAAACTTGAAAACATGCCAATTAAAATTTAATAGTCGAGAAAAACACATTACTGTATGATAGATCTACTCACATGTCAAATGTCTACAACAAGCAGATCTATACAGACAGTAGATTGGTGGTTGTCTAGGGAGAGCTGAGAACAAGTTTGAAGTGATTGGTAATGGACACAAGTTCTTTATATCTCCAGTGACCGAAATGTTTTAAAATTAATTGTGGTGATGGTTGCATAACTCTGTGATACACTAAAAACTACATAACTATATACTTTAAGTGGGCAAATAGTATAGTATGTAACTGTATTTTAATAAAGCAATTTTTTTAAAAAAAGATAGTAAACACCTATTATCTCACAGTCTCTTAGATTCAAGTATTTGGGTGATTCTGACCCAGGCACTCTCATGAAAGTTGTGATCTGACATGCATCTTAAAGGCCTGAATGGAGCTAGATGATCCACTTCAGAGGATGACTCACTTACATGGATGGTAATTTGCTGTTGTCTATTGGTGAGATGTTTCAGTTCCTCTCCACATGGGTCTCTCTAGAAGGCCGTTTGAGTGTCCTCATGACATAGCATCTGTCTTCTTCCATGTACAAGGCGGAAGCTTCAATGTCTTTCAAGATCTTGCCTCAGAAGTCACACGATTTCTAGTACACCCAATCGGCTAAACAGATCAACCCTATTCATCATGGAAAGGGACTACACAGGAGCATGAATACCAGGAATCAGAGATCCCTGAGGGTCATCTTGATGATGAGAAAATTGATAATAAAAGCTAACAACCTCTGTGCACATACTATGTGTGAGGTGCTGCTCTAAGCTCATGATAAACCTACGAGGTAGGTACTATTATCTCCATTTCACAAATGAGGAAACTAAGGCACTGAGAAGTTAAGTGGCTTGTCAAGGTCATGATTTAATAGAAGACATAGCTGAGATTCAAACTTAGGCAGGATAGCTCCAAAGCCACACTCTTAAAAATTATACTACAACCCAGGTATCAACTGAGTATCGCCCATCTGTCTCCAGATGAATGTACGAGCCAGCACTCCCTATGAGTTCTCATTCCCTGTAGAGTTCCGTTTCTTGCTTATTTTTGCCAACTATTAGATATAAAATAGAAACTAATAATGTTTCAATGAACATTTCTCTAATTATAAGTAAGGTAATATATGTATCAATCATTCTGGTGTTCTCCCTAGATTTTACCATTCACATCTTTTGCCCAGTTTATTTTTTTTTTTTTCCCGATTTACAGTAACTCTTTCTCTATTCAGTACTTTATACAGGCAATCCCCTGTCAGCTCTAGACTCTGCAAATGTTTATTCCTCTTTGCCTTTGACTATGGTATTGTATTGTTAATTGGAAAGTTTTAATTTGAAGTATCAGCCCTTACAAATTGTGCATTGGGGATCTTATTTAACAAACTAATTCCCAAGGTTAGAAAGTCATTCTTGATATTTTCCTACTGTCTTCAGCATTAAACCTTTTGTGTTGGACTGTAATCACCGGGGCTTGTCTTTGTTTTGTATGGCTTGTAGGGATCCAACTTTATTTCTGTCCATATAACAAGCCAATTTTCTGAGCATCATTATCCATCTCTTCTCCAGTAATCTGTAATGCTCCCTTCATCATACACCATGTCTCTAAAGACCCATATCTATTCCTATGTCTAGGTCAGCAAACTCTTATTTTCTAGGAGGAAGACTGTGTCACTGTGAAAGCTTTTACTCATACTGCTGTCTAGATTACTGACAATTTTAATCATCATTTTCTAAGATCCCTTGGACTTCATATTAGTTTACATTCTTCCCCAAAATGAAGTAGCCCATTAAGAAGGTGATTAAAAAAATAGGTACATGTTTATTAAAAAAAGAAAAAGGCTTCCCAAGAACAAACCCACTGAGGAATCAGTGTTTCCTCTGAAAACCAGCAACAGCCATGCTGGCGCGCCTGAGCAGTACAGCGCCTCAGTGCAAACGTCCGGTCTCACACATGCTTCACAGGCAGAAGTGGCATTCGAGCAGTTTTGGTCTCTGTGGACCAGTTATGAGCACAGACAACAGCTACTGCTGGACGTCTGGCTGCCCTGTGTCCTCTGCCACACCCATCACCACCCTACAGCCTCAGAAAGTTACATGTCCTCAACACTCCACTTATAGGCAAGTTCCTCTACCGCCTTCTTGCTGGCAAGCCTGGCAAAGCGCTTCTGTTCAAATCCATTGGATCTGCAATCAAGAGACATACTAATCAGCCAGAATCCTGAAACAGGACATTTACTTTTGAAACAAGCGAAGAATTCACAATACAATGAATAGGAAGAAAGCAAGACAGTGGGGGGAAATTACCGCACAGACAACAAGCCAAAGGACCGAACCTGTAGCTGGCCCTCTCGGCAGCCCTTACTCGGGCCTTTCTCCTACTGACAACTATCCCAGATTTCCCCACTCCCTAGAGGATCTGCTCACTCTCAGCTGATGTCTACAGCTTAGACTTTACTGACTACACAAAAGCATTCAGTAAACTTGCAGTAGGCACTGAGTCATGAAGAGGAATGATGTGACAGTCCTGACGAACTTACAGGCCAGTGGAGGAGATGAGCATTTACACAGTAACTAAAATAAAAGGCATCAACTCTGGTAGAAATATGCACCGAGTATCAGGGAAATAGAACGGGATCCCACCTGGCTTGGGAGGGGGTTGAAAAAGAACAGCCAGGTGATGGCACACGGGTGACTCAGTGATGGGAAACCCACGGGGATTACAATTGAGATGAAAAAACAAAACATACAAAATGATGTAAAAATAAACTATAATATATATATATATATAAAGAAAAGAACAAGAACAGCCAGGAAAGGCTTTGTGGAAGTAGTCCCTAAGCTGAATCTGGAAAGACAGATTTGCCCAAATTGTTGGAGACAGGGAGGGTCAGGAGCACATTTCAGGACAGAGCACAGCATGAGCAATAAGAGCAGAGGCTGAAAAGTAAAGAGCCCGGTATATGCAGCGAACCAACAGCAAGCTGGTCTAGCTGGCGTCTTGAGCATGACAAAGGAGGAACACAAGACAGAAAAAGGAGACAGAGGCCAAATCATTATGAGCTTTGTAGACCACAGTAAAAGGCTTAAATTACATCCAGGAGGGAACAATTTAAGGCAGGAACATTAAACGACATTTCAAAGAGCGCACTCTGGAGATCAGAGGCAGGAAAGTCACTGTCACAGACCAGGCAATGATGATGAAAGCACTGATAAAGTGGGACAGGAGAAGGAGATATGGTAGGACTCAGAGACTGAGGGTATAAGACAAAGAAGGAGAAGGCCCATTTGCCTTGTAGGCTAATAATTTCAGTGACTGACTGAGTGAGGCTGCCACTAACCAGAATCAAGAGGAGGAGCAGGCTTAGAGTAGGTGAAGCTGATGAGGTCATTCTGATACACTGCATTAAGTATATCTCAACACACAGCTCAATATACCAGGCTGAGCTGTAAATACAGATTTGGGAGTCACATAGTACAGGTGGTAACTGAAGTTGTGACTCAGTAAGATTCATCCACTGTGGATGGAGAAAAAATGCCCAAGGGTTACAATTGGAGCCCTGAAAACTATTAAGGCATGAACAGAGGAAGAGAAACTCATCAAGATGGCCTAGAAGAAACATGAGAAAATCACCTGAGGTAGGATGTCAGCAGCATAATTCCTTGTGATACCATGTGTTCTCTGTCTTCTACAGAAACAGCTTGAAAGTGCCTGTATTCAGTCTGTATAGTTCACCTCTCACATTAGAATATCCTTATCACTCCAGAAAATCCTCCCACTAGATAAAGTGAGCCGCAAAGCAAAGCAGTGAGTCAGCCTGAAACTACAACCACTCTGAAGATACCTGCCAATATCAAGAGCAATAGTCCTGAATTTTGATGGCAGCTTGAGGGTTGACTGTCTCTGGCCTATATAAAGTAGGGTAGTGGATTCCAGTCATGGAGGAGGAACTTGAACAGTCTCACCTACCTTCACACAGCAATTCTGAAATCTGAACAAAACATACAAGTACAATTATTTGAAGGCATGAGAGTGACTAAAAGCTGGCAGACCTGGAGGGAGTTCATGTATGAAGAGATTTATGAGGCTTTTGCCAGAGGCCATGTCCCAGAAAGCCACAGGCTTATTGCCTTGAAGTAGTCCAGTAAATCAGGGAGGCAATATTGAAAAAGAAATAACCTACAGAAAAGAAGAACCACAAAATCCACATACAAACTGCACCCAGCTCCATGGCTAAATGCTAAAATGTGCATTTGCAAGCGAAAAACTGTGGAGCCCAATTAAAAAGCAGCAAGTAGAAAATGAGAGGCTAGTAGGGAGGTTGGCTGCTGCCACCTTAAAGGAGACAGTGTAGCGTTCAAATCCAGTCAAGGTAACAGTCCAAGGCAGAGGTATGTAACAAAGTCTCTACAATGTATCCTTCATAACTTTCAGTAACTGAGAAAAACTAACCAGATATTTGAAGAAACTGTAAAAGGTGGTCAAACTCAAGTAAAAGTTATTACTAGAAACCAATCTTAGGGTGACCCAGATGTTGCAATTAGCAGGTAGTCTTTAAAGCATCCATTACATTCTCAAGCTAGAAGGCCATATCTCAGAATAAATGAACAGATGGGATTTTTCAGCAAAAAAAATATAAACTATCAAATGGAAATTCTAAAGTTGAAAAATACAATAAAATAGCTGAAATGAAAACCTCATTGTATGGCCCAACAAACTAGAGATGGCAGAAGAGTGAATGAACTTGAAGACAGATCAATAAAAAGTATCACACCTTAAGAACAGAGAAAAATGAATAGGATTTCAAAACTCTTAGAACAGTGTCAAGTGGTAGGTAATAGTGTAATTGGAGAAAGAGTGGTTCAGAAAAAAATAACTGACGAAATAATAGCCTGATACTGCCCAGATCTAAAAAGCATGAACTCACCAACCCAGAAAACTCACAAAACCCAAAGCAGGATAAATACAAAGAAAACCACACTCAGGTACATCAAAGTCAGCTGCTTAAAACCAAAGAAAAGCAGAAAATCTTAAAAGCTGCAATACATCGCAACATGTACATGAGAGCAGGGAAGTCACAATGGAGCAAATGAGGACTGCAGGCTGATGTCTAACCAGAAACAACAGAGGGCAGAAATGACAAAGCATCTCTGAAGATGTCTCTTTCGGGCCGACAGGGCAATTCCAGCACCTGGTACTGTCCACCCAGAGTCCTATGTCAGTGAAACTATGCTTCAAAACTGAAGGGGAGAAAAGGTCTTTAGTTAACAGAACATGCCTATGCCAATTTCCTGCTTGATATCACATGATGGTTACATACTATATTATCACTGGGAGAAGAAACTAACACACACATTATTTTCTCAAGTTCTTGTGAGTATAAAATTATTTCAAAATTAAAGTTTTAAGACAATGAAGGTGAAATAAAGACATTTTCATGTAAGCAAAAATATAGAATTTGCTACCAGTATACCTGAAGGAATGTTCTTCAGGAAAGAAGGAAACACACTAGAAACACTAAATATAACACTCTCTCATAATATACACACATAAAAACTGTATGTGTGTGCATGTGTGTGTGCATGCATGTATATATGTATGCATGTGTGTGTGTTTTCTTAGTTTACTTGAAAACATATTACAAAAACCCTAACACTATAGTGGGAGTTATAGCATTTTTCATGTAATAGGTGTGATAAACAACAGCACAAAAAAAAGAAAGAGAATAGGTAGAATTAAAGTGTGGCAGGGTTCAATTTTACCTGAAATACCACAAGTATAGCTTCCAGTCAGGTGTAATAAGTTATAGATACATAGTGTGATTCATAGAGCAAATACTAAAAAAAAAATGGCAGAGGTACAACTTAAAAAGGTACAGAACACTTAAAGTTGCATACTAAATTTCCACATCTAAAATCTAAAACACCGACAATGCCAAATGCTGACAAGGATATCAAACAAGAGCCTGCATTATTTGCTATCATATAAGGTGGTATAGACACTGTAGAATATGGGGCAGTTTCCTACAGAATTAAACATAATTTCACCATATAATCCAGAAATCACTGAGCATTTATCCAAATAAACGGAAAACTAAGTTCACATAAAAACGTATACATAGTGAGCAAGTGGGATAAAAGAGGTGAATTCTACTGTGGTGGATGGAAGTTAGACTTTTAATTGGGTATCGTAATAAGCATACACAGATGTCAAACTACAATGCTGTACACCTCTGAAATCTATGTTATAAAACTGTTTACTTATATAAAAATGTAGAAAGAAAACATACATAAATTGCAGCTTTATTCACAATCACTAAAAACTGGGAGCCACCAAGATGCCCTTCAACAGAGAAGTAAAGAGATTGTGGTACATCCCAACACTGGAGCAGCAGTCAGTGATTAAAGAGGAGCGAGTACCAATTCACATACGAACATGGATTAATCTTAAATGCACTCTGCTAAGTGCTAGAAATCAAACTCAAAAGGCTACACAGTGTATGTTTCCACTCCTGGGCATTCTGAAAAAGGGAAAACTAGAAGGACGAAAAATAGATCTAGGATAAACTGCCAACTATGACAAATGAAACTAACTAATTACAAATGCATGAACAGTAATGGGGGAGGGGAAGGACTTGCCACTTTAAGTAATGCTAAAAATGGTGCTTTGATTATAAAGTGCAAGAATAATAACGTAAGAAACTGCATATTATTACTCTAGTTGGTAAATTTGTTTCTCACTGAAATCGTCAATTCTGGAACTGTCTTACACGTAGTCTGGGATAAGCAAAGTGAGTGGCAGCTATGGGTGCCAGATTTCTCAACTGGAGAAGAAAACTACAGATAAGCAAGAAGGAAAGCTAATTAATACTGGATTAGAGTCAGTTACAACAATATGAACTGTGTATATATTTGTATACATGCATGTATCTATATATACACACAAACATACATTCACATATGCATACATACACACATGCAATAACGCAACAGATAGATGGATAAATACAGAAACAATTATAGATAGGCATGTATACATGGATTCTATACATGCATTACCTAGTTCTGTCTACTGAGATGGCCCAGAAGCAATGACACTTCAATAACAGTAAATACCCCCAACTGTCAGATTATGGTTTCTAAATAGCATTCTCTATTAAAAGCAGCCAGAGTGATGCCTTCCTGGTCTGAGAAGATAGTGGGTATGATTCCGATCTTAATGTATCTGTTGATGTTTGTCTTGTGTATGTGATCAATCCTGGAGAATAATCCATGTGCACTGAGAAAAATGTGTACTCAGATTTTTTGGGGTGCAGTGTTCTATAGACGTCTGATAAGCCCATGCGGCTTAGGTCATGTTTAGTGCTTTAGTGTCCTTGCTTATTTTTTGTCTCGTTGACATGTCCAAACATATGTATTTTTTTAATGTCTGTTTTCAGAGATGACAGTAATTCAAGAGCACCTACACTGCTGTGTTTATTGCAGCACTATTCATAATAAATAGCTATGGAACAACCAAAATGCCCAAAAATAGATTACTGGATCAAGATGTGGTATCTGTACATAATGGGATATTACTCAGCATTCAAAAAGGTAAACTCACACCATTTGCAGCAACATAAACAGAGCTGGACGCGTTCATACACAGTGAAATTAGCCAGAAAGAAAAAGAAAAATACTGAATGGTATCTCTTATAGGAGGGATGTAGGGATGTAGGGAACCCAAATAAGGGCTGGGGAGAGGGAGGGAGTAATTTAACGAAGTAAAAAAATCAAATCAACAGGCAACTATAAACCAGAGACATTATTTGAGGGGAGGAGAAAAGTGGATCAAAACAGGGGTGGGAAGTGCACAAGGGACTATGGTGATGGTGCGCAGGTGAATTTACACAACGGGGTGGGGGGGGTAATTTCTTGGGACTGTACATGAGATAATAAAGCACACATTGTATGAAAGTGAAGAATGATGTAAAAAATATATAATATTTAAAAATAAACAAAAGCAGCCAGGACTCCTTAGAGAAATAACTGATTCTGGGGTTGGAGAGAGAAAATAAAAGAGAAGCCTGAAGTATCTTGTAGTAGCAGAAAGTGCAGGAGTACTCAAAAATAAAAGGATGAGAGTGTGTGAAAGGGACACCCGAGAGAGCAATAGCCGGAATGGCGCAATCTGAGCAACAAAAGAAACACAACTGCCGGGTTACATTACAAAGTATAACAGCTACAAGAGTCCTGTACCGATTTAAACAAATGAGTGAATAAAGAGGGAAACTAAACAAATACACCTTATATTAGGTTACTGCCCCCCATGGGTCCCCTTTGGATTTAAGTTGAACTCGTGACTCACTTCCAGACAACAGAAACTTGTGGGGAAAAATAATAATTTTAAAGTGAAGAAACCTGGCAAAGACTCACTACCTTAACCACATCACTGTGATGGGGTACGGATCTTACACACCCCCTAAAATGGTACCACAAGAGGGCACGTCACCACTGTGGCATTCTTTCTAAAAGCCTGTTACTTCATTCTAGTCATGAGAAAAACACCAAACAAACCCAATCTGAGGGCCATTCTACAAAATAGCTGATACTACAAAAATTGTCAGGTTACATACAAAAAGCAGACTAAGAATCATTACAGATCACAGAAGAGGGAGAATTGACCAATGAAGGCATTATCAGTAGTATCCTGAATGGCTCCTTGAACAGAAATGGGACATCAAAGGAAAAACTGGGGAAATCCAAGTAAAATTTTGTACACTGATAATAACATACCAATGTTTGTTTCTTAGTTTTCATAAATATACCATGGCAGTTTATTAAATGGAAATGAAACTTGGAAAACTACTAATGATAGTCATTGTTAAATGATAAAATTCGAACTTAAAATTTTGAAATACAAGTATCCACCACCACGGACTCTTTAGCTTCCTGTAACTTAAAAGATTTTTGTTTTACTTTATTAAGTTTTAATGAGCCAATTAATATTTTTCGGTTTCTCAGTTCCTTAGTAATAGTAAATTTTAATATGATAAATATTAATGGATAAAACCTAAAAAAACAACAAAAGTTTTTGGAGTCCTGAATAATTTTTTAGAGTGTAAAGGGGTCTTCAGATCAAAATTTAAGGGTCAGTATGCTAGATGCTAGAGGAGTGACCTTGTTAGTAGGCAAGAGGAGACAGACTCTTAACATGTAAGTTGAGGACTGACTTTGAATAGCAGCACATATGGTTCATCCACAGTAACAGGGAGAACGTTAAGAGAATCTGTGTATAGCAGCTGCTAGATGAACAGAAAAGGTGGCAGGAAACAGTGAGGCACTACGAATAACTCAATCTCCACAGGAAGTGAAAGTTCAAAAACAAAATGTTCAAGATACACCATTGTAGAAGGTTCCAAACTACCAGCCAATACTCATTACCTCTAAACCTGTTAAAATATCATTAGAAACAATCAACATGAAAACCAAGGTGAGATGTGAGTCCAGAGCATTGAACAGTTTCAAAAAGAAAGCAGAAGTGTTCCAAGCATGGGAAATGGAATTTGAGGACTCAGAAATAGAAGCAAGCAAAATGGGAACTATTAACCTTGTGATAAGAGAGAAGAATAAAGAGCGTTGAATGATTTAAGAACAATTCGGGAAGGTCTGGCCAGATGGAAGAGAAAACAAAAATGCAGGAAATGCTCTGGCTTACCTGTCTACTCCATCCCAGCGATATCCAGGCCAGATATTGAATCTATTGGGAGGAGGTGCTGGGCCATTGTAGCGAGGTCTCACTAACAGGAGAGAGAAAAGAAGTTACCTGTATAAGTTAATTCAGAATGGCTAATAGTGGGGGGAAATTTTTTATACAAAAATCTCTACTGAGTTGGATAAGGAATACAAGGAATCTAAAACTGTATAGAAAACCCTGTTTTGCATATCACTATGTATCATCACCCTCACGATTCTCTTGCTTTACATTAAATCACTTTCATCTCTGATGATTACCACAAGGCTCACCTTTCTTATTCTTATTCTCCTTGGCCTTATTCTTCTTGATAAAGTTGGCCATGGGGTCCCCTTCTCTTTCTTGTTCTCTCAGCATCCGGTCCAGATCTTCATCATCAATGTAGCGGGCCAGAGGTTTCTGCATTTCCTTCAATGCATCCTCCACATTTTGTTGCTGCTGCCGGCTCTGGGCAAGCCTAGGTATAAAGGACCCGAGAGAATATGCACTCTTGTTACATGTGTGCTCTCAACTGAGCCGGGCCACACTTCCGCACTGAGCTTCTCCTCTTTCTAGCAGCATATGCCATACAGGAACAATGGAAACCTCATAGACAGCCAAATGGACGTGTGGAATAGTTCAGCACCTTGCAAAGCAGACTAAACACAATCACTTTCCCATTCCTGAAAACAGCTCTGAAAGCAGAACACTACTAGACTAACGCAGACTGGAACAGAAAAGAGAGAGTGATACAGAACAGAGAATGACTTCCCCTAGTCAGTGGGGTCCTGTTCCCCCTTCCAGGTGTTCCCTTACCCTTTTCCCCACTGGGCATACAGCTCATCTCTCTCCGAGTCCTTCTCTGCTTTTCTCCTTTGTTCTAAACGTTCCAGTTTCAAATTCCTCTTACGACCAGATTTATCTCGAAATACAGTTTCAGCATACTGGAATTCAGCTGGAGAAAAAATTAGACTTTCAAAATAAATATTAAGCATCGAAATTAGAAATAATAACCTAGTAGGTGAAATCAAGCACTGGAATTTTTTTTTCATGTAGAAAATGTTTTAATATATATAAAGATGTAGCCACAACATAATTCAAAAGTAGGTTTTTTTTTCCTTTTTTTTTTATTACAAAGTTTATTTTTACATCATTTTGCACATTTTTTTTTTCATCTCGATTGTAATCCCCGCGGGTTTCCCATCACCAAATCACCCCTGTGCCACCACCATAGTCCCGTGCATTTCCCTCCCTTCCCCCCCCACCCCCCGTTTTTGAACCCATTCCCCACTCCACCCCCACAGAATGTCTCTGTATATGGTTGTTCATTATTTTTTTAATTTTCTTGCTTGGTCCATTATACTCCTGCTATGAGTGAAACCATCCGGTATTTTTCTTTCTCTTTCTGGCTTATCTCATTAAGTATGATCTTTTCCAGCTCCATCCAAGTTGCTGCAAAAGACATGTGTTTCTCTTTTTTGGCTGCTGAGTAATATTCCATTGTGTATATGTACCACATCTTTCTAATCCAGTCATCTACTTTTGGGCATTTGGGCTGCTTCCATGTTTTTCCAATTGTAAATAAAGCAGCAATAAACATGGGGGTACAAGTATCTTTTTCAATCAGTGTTTTTGTGTCTTTTGGGTAGATACCTAGGAGTGGGATTGCTGGGTCGAAGGGAAGCTTCAAGCACTGGAATTTTGATGCTGGATAAGACCTTTAGCAGCTGGAACACAAGTCATTTCTACCAACATCTGAGTGTAACATTTTTCAGGGAAGAAAAAAATACGCTGTTGAAATAATGTATAAAGCCAGACCATAAATCTGATATCAATTTAAAATTTAAAATACCAGGTGCAGCTGGACTATGGTGATGGCACACAGGTGAATTGGTAGTGGGAAGCCCATGGGGATTACAACTGAGATGGAAAAAGGCACAAAATGATGTAAAAATAAACATATTACTAACAACAGCAAAAAAATGAGGTGCAGTAAGTTACATTCAATAACAACAATAATAGTAGTTATACTAAAGTCATGAACTTTTGACTGGCCTGTGCATTTTCACACTTTTACCTTCAAATGCCATGGTTTCCTGTTCTCGTTTCTTGAGTTCCTGCTGCTCTTGCTGCATGTCAGTTAACACCAACCCAGTTTTAGCGCCAGAATACATGCGTGCAGCCTATGCAACCGAGAAGGGAGTGGCTGACATTAATGTGGCAACACAACAGTAGACTGCATGAGTGTAGCATTAGGTGCATTCTGTCTTGATAATCATCAATACAGAAACCAAGAACTCTAGCTTGATAGTCTCATCAACACAGGATTCACAGAATAGAAAAGGAAAAAAACAATTGAATTTCATAGGAAATTAATAAAACTATTAAGTTTAAAAGTAAACGAAAAACAAACCACAAAGATATAAAGAGAAGGCTAAGCATATGTATTTCTGACCTTCTAACATGGAAACTGCACACAGGCCCTCTCACGCCACCTGACCAGAAACATAGAGCCGAAAGTCTCCAGGAGAGGCCCACACTGACAGAACAGTCCTTTTAAAATACTGACTCAGCAAACCTAAGATTGTTAAATTGTGGCTACATTTCAGGATATCGAGATACTATCAAACAAAACTTTTTACTAAACTCAATTTAGTGTCAAGAAAACAACTGAAGTATACAATATATCATGACAGCATTATAAATTGCTTAAATTTGATGAATATTAAATTGTCCATAGATTAAAGAGATACATAAAATGGGAAGAGATCCAACTAAAGCACAGGCCTCGGTTTGTTCCCCTAAAAAGAGGAACCCCAGTTCCTAGGTTAGAGACAGGCTGTTCTCCCCTACCAGAACCATATGGTCTACAGATGACACTTAACCTGAGAAGTCTAGTGTTGGATGGGAACACACAAACCCTAGCGACCTATCGTTCTGTTTCTTAAGCAAATCATTGAAATAAGATTCCTTTACTGGCCTCCTTTAAAACACAATTACTCAGGGCTCATGTGGATTATTTTTGCCAATTCAGGTTTCAATATAGATTTAAAATGAATACCAACATCCTACATGATTTGATTCTCAATGTAGTTTTATATTTTAAGTGCCTCTCTTTAAGCTCTGGAAACAGATTTGCAGTCTTCAAATTGTAGTAAGATTACTTACACTAAATGCTTACTTTGTCCCAGGCATTCCACTAAGAGTTTTACTTATACAAATTCATTTAACTCCACAATAACCTAAAAGAAGTATGTACCATATTTTACAGATGAAGAAGCTGAGGCAGAGATATTCCTATCTTGCTCAAATCTCAGGTTGCAAGTGGAAGAAGTAGGATTCAAAATGTGATGTTTGACATAAAGTTTGTGATCCTAACACCAATTTGCAAATTAGAGTTCTCAGTTTATTCATCAGAAGACGGGAAGTTTTCCTGGCCCATTAAAATAAGATTTGCGGACTAAGAGGATCTAAAGGCAGTAGCTACTTAGGACTCTGATATTTACAAGTTCCAGAGGGCTGGGTTATAGGCAGTTCTATTTTCACAAAGAAATAAAAAGTTCTAGCGGTTCTTTGAATTAGTTTTACTGTCCAACTTCTGCTGGCAGCTTGTGGCTTTGGGATTTACATTGGGATTTACATTGACTTCCAGAGAGGAAGTCACTCTAATAGGAGACTACAGCTCCTGAACGGTCCTACCTTCTTCCCAGGTGGTTGACTTCTTCGAGGTGGAGACAGATCAGAATCAGAACTGGCCCTCCGTTTCCTCCTTGGTGGAGAGAGGTCAGAGTCAGAGCTCTGGTGTCTAGGCCTATTCCGCGGAGGTGAAAGATCCGAGTCAGAATCCAAGTGCCCTGGATTTGGTTGAGGAGAAAGATCTGAATCAGAGGCTTTTTAACTATCACTTGCAAGAAAAGTCCCCATGTTTGACTCTAATGTCTCCTAGGTAGAGTTTATACGACATCCCTTCCTCTCGTTCAGGTACTCATCTGTGATGGGTCTGCTCAGCCCGTTCCCACAGACTCTCTTCTACGTTGGCCCTTGAAGAACTAGAAGGAGCTAGGTCTCATTGATTTGAGAAAAAAATGATTCATAATTGTAACTCTGTCTTACCCCAGGAGCCACAACTTAGCTTAAAGGGTATATGAAACTTACCATAAAGGCTACAAAGTTAATTCTTTGAAAAATTAGGTTATTTAAGGGGTGGCTCTAAGCCTCTTCTAGGAATTTTTAAAAACAGATGCAAGTTTTCTGAACCAAAGGATTAGACTTAGAAATATTAATTTTAGGAATGTTTTGTTACTTATAGGAGTTAATAAAGAACTACTTAGAAACTGAATTAGTAAAACTTTCTGTGCATTCACAAACACTGGTAAAATAACTATTTCTTAAAACTAGCACATGGCCACAATTTTAAATGAAAACTAAAAGATCTCTGTGTGTCCTTAATCTAGGGAGTTACTGTATTACAGTTAATTATAAATGGTGCCTATGTAAGTTCTAATATAATAAAAACCCCAAAATTTTGAGATCACAATCTAGAATTTTTGGTAAATAAAACCTACATCAAGTTTAATGGTTTAACTTAAACCATGCCTGTCTTCAAAGTTATAATGCTGGCTGTTAATACTTTTATTCTATGTTTAAATGCGATTAAACTTTTAAAAAGTTAGCTCTTGATATACAGCAATGAAAAGTGACTGACCTGATCTCTGTCAACAAAAAGAGATTTGTTTAAAAATAAAGTTTTAAACAAATGAAATAGAGATCTCTGACTATCATAGTCTCTCAGAAATTTATGGTTAACTTGAAACTTCATCAGATAAAACAATGAGTTAGGGCTCTTCCTGGTGAAACAATGGGTTAAAGTACCACACTATGAAGCTCTCCAAAGCTTGACCCCAGGTCAGAGACTGACCCAAGGCTGGCAGACCTCTCTTAACCCACTCATTGCCTCCCTCAGCAGTGCATTTCAGTAGATCTGCTTGTTCTGCTTCCCGCTCTGTCTCTGGTGAATCCTCTCACCCACCACACCTCTGGCCTGTACCCCAGTTTTATAAGCATGAATAAAATAAACTTTTAAAAATTAATAAATAAAGCCAAAGTAAAAAGAAACCATTTTAGGCAAGATGGTGCTAAGAGTTTACGTGAAAGGACAACACTGCCACCCAAAACATCTCTCTGGCAAAAGGCTTATTTCACGGGAGGGACACTGAAGCTCGAATATAATTTGCTTTTTGATGTTTATACATTTCTCTCCATGACGGTCTTTTCCAAGAAGACCAATCCCTTTATTTTTTCTCCTGGAGAAGTACTTTTGTTATTCCAAGTAAAGACCCTATTTTCGTTTTTCCCTTGTCCTAGTTAAGGAATGTAAGACAGCATCTATAGCCACAGGGACAAGTCACCTAGTTGTGCTGGATCTCTCACATATACACAGGAGGTATATGTATTACTTAAGCTTCCATATGATCTTTCTTTTACTTCTCAATCTGACTTATTATTCATGCACCCAGAAAACCCCTACGGGGTAGGAATGGAATAATTTCCTTTACAGGCCCCTAAATTGGGAATTTCAGCTAGGAAAAACTAAGGGAACAATTGAATCTTACCCACAAACAGATCTACTCTTAAAAACCTTTGTCACTCTGGACAATTAAGTACTATTTTGTAAGTATCTGTGTAAGTCTGTTAGGCCTGTAACAAAACTTCTCTGACATCAAAACGCTAAAATAATAAGTACATTCACAGGAAGAAAAGGTTGTATTTTTTTTAGCATATATATATAAATTGATAGGAGTGTTTTTAAAATATATTAAGACTTCTTAAAGTCTAATATATTCTGACATAATATTGGCCAATTCTGATTATTTTAAAGATGTGTGCCACAAGATGGGATGCATATCATTGTCTATTAATTTATATTCAGATTTTAAGTATGGTTATTTCTAAGTAAACTGTGTCTTCAGAAAAATTCACATAAAAAGGAACTTACAGTACTCTAAAAATATAAGCCCATTATGTAACTGAGAAAAACTGCAGCGCTTATGGAAATCTGGACTCCTAAAGTTTGCTAAACAAAAAATCCAGACTTACTACATGGAAATGACTACTGTGAGAACTAAAATATTTGTAAATTTGTAAAAACTTTCTAAAATATTGGGTTTTAACATTTTGGGTTTTAACATTTTATCTACAGCAGTGTCAAACTGCATCTTTTTATGAGCGAATTGAAACATTTGCTTTTCTATCAGCCAAAATGTAAACTTTTAGTAAGTATGGTTACTTCTCAGGGCAATGTGTTTGTCTGCATAAATCCAGTAAGACCCTTTTTTCCTCCATAGTAAAATGTCCGAGACTTTCACTGGAAACCAGAGGGCTTTCAAGAATCTACAATTTCGGATTCTTTGAGAAAGGGACAGACCTTGCTTTCAGGGTTCTCGATCTACCAGGAAGGGTAAAGAATAACCCTCCCCTTTGGGAAAACTGACAGCCCCAAGGCATTTAGGGACCTCAAGAAGAGGAACTTAGCCAACCAAACAGGTTTTTACAGGAAAGGTCTGCTGGGACTGTGGCTTGATTTCCTGCCCTGAGACGCAAACCATTAAGAGTTCAATCTGAGATTCCTTGTGGAGGTTCCAGTAAAGCCATTCTTAAAAGTATACCGTTATATTTTGCTCTTGTTGCACTTACGTGAAAGGACTGCCCAATTTGATGAAAATTAAACTTAACTTGCAAATGGATTTTACTGTAATCACTTGTAGAGCTGGAGTGGGGGGTTGAAGACAAATGATATTTAGAAACTTTTTCGATATCAGTTTCTGGTCCTCTTCAATCTGAAAATTGTACTGGATCCTAACATCTTTAATGTCTAACTATTTTGCACAAGTTTGTTTTTAACAGGCTACGGCATCTAACAGTATATAACTACTCACCTGGAGATTAGGTACTTCTGAAAAGGAAAGGTTATTACCCTGAGACCTGGGAAGGGCCCTATCTTATCCTTCCCATCACACACTCTACCCTAAAAATGGAAGGAATAAAACCCTAGATTCATCTTACTCAGATAAAACCCTATCATTTAACAAGGTGGAATATAGTCCCTAGATTTAACAACTTTAAAGCTCAAAAAACTTGCCCCCAGAGGTCATGACTATCCTGACGGTGCCCACTAGACTGGCTGTTCCTAACAAAGTTGGGGACTAACACCTTTCTCTGGTGGGCTCAACGCGATGCAAACCAAATCTCCTGCTGAGTTTGTGGTGTCGTGCCCTCTCTAGCATCCAGGGCTCTCTTGGTGGGTGCAGCCTTTGTAAGATAAAGCTAGGACTTAAAACAGCTCCCCTTTCCTGGGAGCAAATATCCCACCTGCATTCCTCCAGAGTAAACACACCCAGAGAGGGGCTCTCCCCAGTGAGACCTTGCATCTCTAGAGGCAAAATAAAGGAACATGCCTTTACCTAAAGGAGGAAAGTTGTCGTTATGTTAGCCAGAGTGGACTGGTAATATCCAACATAAAAGTGCAACAACAGCCATTAGACTTAGAGAAAAGCCTCTCCTCTAGTGGGGGATGTTAATGGAGCCCTCCTATGGATACTGCCTTTTCTAGAACCCTTTGCCACTATATTTTTATCCTCATCTCTGAAACTTGAATACTCAATCTCATTGTTAAATTTGTTTCTTCTTGTATGGAGGCGGTTAAATTCCAAGAGAAATAACAGCCAGTCAAAACACCCCACATCTGGGACTCCACCTCTCCCTCCTTCCAGAACCAGCATAAAGGACCCACAGGCCAGTCAGTTCAGGGACTAGCATTAGTGAGCTCATACCCCAGGCCCTTACATAGGAACAGCTCTATGCCCCACTCCAGCCTGAGGCAGCTACAGAAGACAAACCACCCACCATTCAGGTTCCCCAAGTGATTCTGGGCCAGATAGGGTGAGGAGAGGTTAATACAGAAAAAGAAAAATTTAGAGAAGAAAAATTTCAGATGGAAGTTTTCACAAAGTCAAAAGCCAGAGGAATGAGGAATGAGTAATTAATCAAGCTAAGCACATTTCCAGGAACTGGAGGTGGGGGCAGAGAGGATTATCATTTACAGAAAACCAAGCCAATCAGACTACAAAATGATAAAGTTTCAGAGTAATTTCATCAAAAAGCACTATTTAAGGATGCCCCTTGCTCAGGCAAAATGCCTATCTTGTCCATTAAGAACGCCTGCCTATGTCTTTTTTTTTCTGTTTCTTAATAGGTTTACCACGTGCTGCTGATAATAAATAAATAAATAAATAAATAAACCAATAGGCCATGGGGTTCTACTTTTCAAGTTACTAGTGACTACTAGTATGAGCTCATAACTCATCTCAGTCATAATTATCCCATCCATAGAATAAACAAAACAACTGGCACTCAAGTCTAGAAAAATTTAAAATTATCCAGAATATGTTCTGATGTCCTCAGACTAAAGGAAGCAATGTATTTTAATTTAAAAATCCACATAGCACCTAGGGACAAAACATAAGAGTCAACAAATTTCACTAGAAAGGTCTGAATTGTATAGACCAAAGCATCATAAATCACCTCCCTAATTTGTACTTAGTTTCCTGGGTTACAGTTCTAAAAGTACTTAAATTTCCAGGAAATCTAATAAGGAAATAATCTAAAGTGGGGACAACAGTTTATATGCAAGAATGTTCATTATGTAAAGGCAGAAATTTATAAGTAATTTAAATTTGCAATAATAGGAAAATAAGCAAATTTGTATACTAACATGTCAATAAAAATTATACTGACAAAGAGATGTGTTTATGACATAGGGAAGATAATGTTAAGTAAAAAAAAAAAAAGGAAGATTGACTATTCATGAGATGTCTGTACCTCACAGCACTCAAATATATCAAAAATGAATTTCCTTACTTTTTTTTTAAAGATTTATTTATTCATACAGAACTGGGGTACAGGTGAGAGGTGCAGGGCGGTGAGAGGATTCACCAGAGATGGAGTGGGGAGCAGAACAGGCAGATCAATGAAGTACACTGCTGAGGGGAGCAGCAGGCGGGTCAGGAGAGGTCTGCCGCGACTTGTGGGTCACCCCGGGGAGGGGATCGAACTTGCACTAAAGCAGATGCAGCTCGCTTGCAGTGCTGTGCTTTAACCGGTTGTGCCACCAGGGAGGGCCCAAAAATGAACTTTAAAAAGACTAAAGAAATATTGCTACAAGATGAACAGTGATTACCTCTGAATGACGAAATTTGTATGCCCTTTTTTTTACTTTTTCACATTTTAAAGTTTCTGCAGCATACGTGTAGTACTTTTATATGGAGTGGAGAGAATAAATAGAAAACTATATAAGACCTTCCTCGCAGTCACTATAAATTTTTAACTTTCATCAGTCCAATCTCTCAACATTTCCCAAGTTTTCTAAACTTCTCCAAAGACACTCCAATTCCATTTCTAAACATCATAAAACCTAATAAAGTACCTAGATAAAAGTTTCCCTCCTGGACAATCAAATGCTCACCTTTAGAATCATGCTGCTTATTTCCAAAATTGGATTTTGCTCGCTTTTTTCGTGGAGGAGAGATATCCGAGTCATGTTCATTTTTGTTGTTCTTTGGGAGTGATGGAGAAGAGCCTGGTCCTTTCCGATGTGGAGGTTTACTAGAGGTAGCATCTGGTGCTCTAGTGCTTTTTGTTCTGGGCAGTGACTGAGGGACATTAGGATCCAAATCAGGGGAGTCGTGTCGGACCCTCCTGAGCTGCGATGTGTCCAAGGAGTCAGTTCTTTTACGCTCACATGTGTCAGGGGAGCTGTTACGGGTCCTTCGTGGGGGAGAGAGATCTGAGGAACTGTGACGGGCCCGCCTAAGAGGAGATGAATCTGGTGTGTCATGACAAGCTTTCCTAGAAGATATACCTGAAGAATGACGATGAGACTTCCTGAGGGGAGAAGGATCACGGGTGTCGTGACGGGCCCTCCTCGGAGGAGATGGATCTGGGGTGTCATGACGGGCCCTCCTCGGAGGAGATGGATCTGGGGTGTCGTGACGGGCC